GTCCATTCGAACGACATGGCCAAGCCAGCGGAGCCGTTTTATTTTAATTCGCTGCACTATGTCTATGTCGTTGTAAAGCTCATCCAGCTCATCGTCTGCGGCAATCGCCGTCGCCAACGCACAAAGTCCCGCAAAACCGCTCTCTCGAATACTCCTCCAGCCGCCTCATCGGATGTTGTCATTGTCCATACTTCTGCGCCATGTACCAGCAGAGAGAGAGGACTCTGTTCCTGAATTACCTACTCTGTCAGTCAGGATTGCAATGGGGTATAATCGTGCAGGGTATGCAGTTACAGTTGCACGGCTGCACTCAATGCTGATTCTTGCGTCCTCGACTAGAAACGACAAAAAATATATACAGCGGGAAACTTTTAAAGCTCTGTCTTATATTGCCACTATAATAGACTAACATAGCTCTTGACAAATAATCCATAAATCTGTTGAGAATTGCAATGTCATAACCGCTGGGAGAAAAAAAATGCAGACTTCAGCCGTTTCATTTATACACGAAAAAACTATATTTTATTAAAAGATTTCCTAGTTAAACGCTTACTTTGTCAAAACGGAAAGCCTTTGCTCAAGTGGCAAAACAAAAAACCACACAATCTTACAGAGTTGCCACACTTACCTGCTACCAGACAAACATTTACATACATATGTAAATACGTAGCCAGGCTTGTTAGCTCAAAGCGTATTTGCGTGTTATTTTCGGAATTAGCGTTACAGTGCCTGAAAAGTGTAATAAGAAATCCATTCAGTTAACTACCGGTTCGCTGAGCCTTTCGTCGTACTTGTAATCAGACTGACTAATCAAATAACTAAATAAAAGTTTCCCCATCTACACACACATGCCGAATAAATCTCTTTCGCGAAATTCTGCATGAAATGCGTACAAATGTGTGAACTGCAATGAATATTGAACTGTATTGCATATTAAAGAGAATAACAAAAAAAAAAGAAAAAAACAAAGATTAAAGTAAAACAAAAATATTATTGTAAAAAACATTGGAAGCAAAACCCCCAAAGCACTTAATTATGTCGAACAGAGTCTGGTCTTTTTTTGTAACACACGACACACCGTTGAAAATGATTCCGGTTTTCTTTCTCATTCATTTGCCGGTTTGATTCTGTCAAAATAATTGTTTCGAAATCACTTATAAATATATTATCAAAGTATTAATAATGCCATTAAACAAATATTAATATTTCATTAAACAAAATTTAGCACCCAATAAATAATAAATGACATAAACTGACAAATGTAATATTCGTAACTTTGAAATTTTTGTTTCTTTGTAAGTGAACGAAAAGTTAAATTTATTTATAGACATTTTTTAATGGTTTTTCACAACTGATCAATGTTTTTTCCTAAAATTTTCTTAAAAATATTTTTCCTAATAAGTAAATTTTTTCTTCGGGTTAGAAATTCTTCAAAACCTAAATCTTTTGTCTGTTGGGTTAAGCAATTTTTCCCTGAAGCTGAGCAAAATTTTTGGAATCGTTTGTTCTGAAGTTTCTTCCTTTTTTTCCAATGACTAATTTTTTCTTTAAAGAAGATTTTTTTATGAAAATGTTAAATATTTCCTAAAACTGTCTCGATTTTGTAATGCATTTTTACTACTATCAATGTTTTTCTTGTACAAAATTTTCTTAAAAATATTTTGCCTAATAAGTAAGATTTTCTTCGAATTATAAATTCTTCAAAATCTACATTACCAGCTCACTAAGTCAAAAAATGTTTATTTTTATTTTTGATATTTTTTCTTTCCCAAAAAATATAAAATTTTTTGTTAGCAATTTGTTTCCTTAAGCAAGCCTATGTTAAAATATTGGTTTTTATTTGGGCAAAAATCGGGCTCGAAATCGTATAAGAATGAATATTTCAGCAGCTCACCATAAAATATTGTGTTTTTTCTTTCACTTAAAAAATCTTAATTTGGTTTACTTCTAATTAACTTTTTTCTTTAAAAATCTGTAAATTTTTTTGTGAAATTCAAAAAGTTCTTGGCATTTTTTTTAAATATTTTTTTCTTAAAGGGTTTAGTGTCCAAAAACTTTGTTTAAGTTTTTTAATAATAAACCATTTTTTCTTTATAAGAGTATTTTGTAAAATGAAATAATATTTGCCAAATTATTTTCCTAGTATTTACTATTCGTTGTTTCTCAAATCCTAAAAGTTTCTTATTGAACGTCTTCGGTAAACAAGCCCTTTCTTAATATTTTTTTCTAAAAACAAATTACATAATTTCTTAAAAAATTTATTAAACATTTTTTAATATGGTGTCTTTTCACTTAAAACTATATTTTTGTAAAAAATATTTTCTTATTTAATTTTTTTTTAAATTTCTTAAAAAGTTTACTTCGGAAGTAATACAATACCTTCTAAAATTATACTTAAATTTTAATATTTTCTTATGCAAAATGCTTTTGTTTCTAATAAAAACCTTGAATAAAAAATATTTCCTAAATTTTCTTTTGTTTTAAAGATTTGGGTTTTCCGTGCACTTAAGAGATTTTCTTAATATTTTGAGGAAGTTTTTTATAAGTTTCATGAACAATTTTTTTATTTAACGTTTTATTTGTATTTATATTAAAATTAGTATTTTTAATAACTAATCTTTTAGAAAATTTTCTCTAAATCTAAAATTTTGTTTGTATTTTGAAATTTTTTCTCAAATAAAAAATTTTATTCCTACATTTTTTCTTCAAAATTTGTTCCCCTTATTCTTAAAATAATATTTTTTCTTAAGTCTTTGGAATTTGAACTTTTATTTTTACCTAATTTCTTTTCGCTTCTATGCGCTTTTTTATTTTATTTCAGCAAGTACTCGCATAATTGCTAAATGCTATAATTATTTCAGAATATTCACTCGCACACTTTAAGGTAATATTAATAAAGTCAACAATGCAAATATTAAGACAAATCACATTTTAATAAACAAACCGCACACCTACATACATAAATACAACAAAAGAACAAAAGCCGGCAATACCTAAGAATATTTCACGAAAAAAAATTCACATAATTGATGGGCAAGCAAGTATTAATTTCAAATCAGCGAATTTATCAAAGTAACGGTGTGCTAAGTCAGCAGATTAAGTTTTGTGAATTTAGCAAAAAAAATTAAAAAAAAGTTGCCAAGACGATAGCACAAATGAAAAAGTGAAGTTGGGCAGAAAGAAAAGGAATGATTTGGATATTACGAGCTATAAAATGTTCGTACATATATTTTAAATTTTTTGTTTTAATAATTGTTTTTTTTTCTGACATACTTGTCATAGTCCACAGAGCCGTTAGCATTTTCGCTACTGCCCTTCATAATAATTCTGGAATAAATTAGAAAATGTTGACATGTTCCTTAAGCACTCTGACAAGTTGGTATGCATTAATTCCTTCTTTAATGAAACAAAACTAAAATGTCACACTTCGTACCATCTTTTGACATGCTATTATCCTCACATATTTATGGTATGCGCACCTGAACTGACAGTTTGATTTTGTGGCTTGTGGCGCCTGTGAATTTTCTTATCAAATATGTATATTTTGTGGAATAAAATAGCCTTTGTTTAGTCACTGTAAAATGACAAGTTTTTTTTTCGCCAGTAGCCAAGGTCACAGGAAAATGATATACATATGTAAATGCAAAGATCATTAAATTAACCCTATCAGGACCATAAATCATAAAGTTTTGCTTATAGAATAGATAATAGCTAGAATTGTGGATTGTAATCGAATTATATAGATATACACAAAAGAAAAATATATATATATCGATAACAATATATGATTTCGATAGTTGTTCCGATAAATATATCGATACAAATAGACAACGATACATATTTATAACGGTTACAATAGCACTGCATACAACAAAGACATTCGTTACGATGCATATCGTTACTGATTTCGTTAAACTTTAACTATATTTCGTGATGATTGCAGATATCGATAACGATATCAATATTTTTATTAGTCGAGAAATATGTGCATAGAAAATTAGATCGATAATTACAAAAAGTTGTTTTTCTGACAGGGATCGCTCCGCGCAGGCGTCTGCATTTCTACCATGGGGAAGCTTTTTACAGAAAAAAAAGCAACTGCCATCCGGAAGTGCCACAAGACCTCCGTTCGGCCAACATGTGAGAGCGTCAATTTACCATCATGCAGTAGCTGTCCATTCGATAGCCGCTCACTTTCATAACTAAATACTTCCTCTTAGCCATGGAAAAACATTAATTTTACCTCAGACCAATTGATATTCAAACAACGTTTTGAATTTATGCCTTCTGCGATCGATGGAAGTTAACGCCCGAGCTAAGGTTGTGCTGCACATTTGGCACTAAGCCAAGCAACGTCACAGTAACGTATTTGTCACAAACTTTATGATGGGTAGTTTTGAAGCGAGCATCTGTATAGAGGCGTTTATTTGTATGAGTGCAGGCATGAATGAATTGGGTACTCAATCGTCCAAACCAGAGCTTCCTAAAGTGGGTTACGCGGAACCCAAGAGATCCGTAGAAAAGCAAAATAAGCACGGCGGTCGGTTTGAGTTGCACACAGAAAGAAAAGTTCTATGAACAGCTTGTTCGGTTTGGTACAAAATCCATTTACTTCGACATTGAAACACACTTTTGAATCTGTGTTTCTGAAAGAGTTTTAGGTTAATATTAATACCGGGGTCAGACATCTGGTATTTCTTCATAGCATTTCCAAAATACCATATGTCTGTCACCAAATATTATAATATTCTTTAAAAGCGTGCGTGAGCAACCTTGTATTCTTTGTCGAAAGAATACAACTTTTCGAAGGTTGTAATTTTGTGGTATTCTCATTGTGAATGGGCATTTCGCACTGAACATACCTAAGAATGACAGATGTCAGCTGCTCATTTATCAAAAAATCATTGAAATTTTCGCGCGATTGAAGCCAAAAGTTTTAACGCAAGTTTTGATGCAATATATAAGCAAATTTTGCATTTTCATGTTTATCGTTTCATGTTTATGGCGATCTGTTACTTCTCAGCTTGAAAAGGTTGGCCACATTCCTTAATTGTGGTAAATATCATAGTACTATGAATATATGAAGCATAAGATGTGTTGTTCTTCAGAAACATATGTTTTGACACTGAAATACTATGTTAATATCTGTCACTATGGTCGAATTTTAAATACCGCAATAAATTTACCAGAATGCAAATACCAGATGTCTGTCCCCGGTATAAGAGTAAATATCATGAAGTCGCTAAAAAGTCCATTTTAACTTTGCTTCCTTCTGTCACAACGTACTCCGTCAACAGGGTTTTCAGCTTACACTTATAAAAAAAACAAATTCAAAGTATAATGTTCCATAACGCCGAACTACAAAATATTGACAATGTATACTTTTCCAAAACGCATCCGAAAAGCTATCGAAATGCATTGCTAGAGCAATCAGCGCATCAGAAATAAAGTTGATGCTTCGTTTGTTATTGGTTACCATTGGTGTTTTAAAAACGGAAAATTCAAACAAATTGTTCATTGCTAAATTGAATATTTAAAATATGCAGTGTATATGGTTGCAATGTGTCGCAACTCTGCATATATAAACAGTTTGAATACCGCAGTATAACAGTTTCCAAACATTGTATTGATACGTTTTGGAAGTCAGCCTATGTATACTATTTCTAGTAAAAGTTTTTATTCATATGTATTTAAATTGCACTGCCTTTGATTTTTACTAAATTGATGTGTGGTTCCATAAAATGAAAGGTGTGTAGTAAGGGTTCCATCATCTTAAAAGTTTAAGAACTCCTGGTCCAAACAATCCAATGTACTTGGGCGGCTTTATTAATCGATCGATTATTTTCAAGCTTGCCAGGCATTTTACCGAGGCTTTTGCGAATATGGCAGGCTGTCAAATTAAAATACATATATTTACAACTAAGCCAAAAAGTAGCGACAAAGCTACGTTATTAATCCTGCGCGCATAACCACAATCGCAACTTATATGTAAATGAAAATATGAATTAAATATTGAGCTTCTATTTGTAAGCAATCGATCATGTGAGCGCGTGTGTGTGTGAGTTGTTTTATTACAATGTTTTTTGTTTTTACTAATATTATAAATGCTTGAACTTGATTTTTCGAATTTCGCTAGTGACGCTATGTAGAATTTTTTTGTTTTTAATTTTTTAATTTTTTCTTTTTAGTTTGTTTTGTTGCTATGCAGCCGCTTTTGGGTGCGTGTTGAATTTAAATTTATGAGCAACATAAATTTAAGAATTACTAATTAAGCACAAATAATGCATGCAAGACAAGTGTTTGCACAGAAAAAAAAAACAATAATAATAACAATAAAATAAAATGAATTATCAACTTGTGTATTACATGTGTAATTGCAACAATATATGTATAAACAAAAATAGTACATCTACGTACATACATATGTACATATGCATACATACCTGTAATCAAATTGCATTGGTCAAGTTATGATATCAGCCTAGCGTCGTTTGCCGCCAATAAACACAGTCACCGCATAGGTAGCGCAGCCCCAGGCCAGACCAATAACAAACTGGGGCAATCTTATCGAAGTTTTAAGTTAAATTGACACTCGAAATGTGTGCAATACGATGTGATTAAGTGCGTGTTTTTGTGTTGCATTATTGTTCTTGTTGTTTGTGCGTTTGGTTGGCCTGAGAGAATGGATTAGCGCATGGTCAGCGAAATGTTATGATGCAATATTGCGTCATAGATAAGTTCTTGTTACATTAAAAAAAAAGTCTACAGATCGTAGAAAGTGTTATACGATGACAAGTCTATTGAAGCTAGTCCATTAGAACGATTGTAGCCCATTAGACTAATGGAAAACTACAAAGCCTCGTATGCCAAGGCGTGTGGAGAGAGGTTAAAACGCAGGATTTTTTGATTACAGGTTTTACTGCAAAAGGCGCTCTCAAACTTAGGGAAGCGAACATGTGGAAAGTAACGAGCTTGGGGAGCGTGGTGACGATAATGGATGGAATAAAATGATGAAAGTTAACTTAGAAGCTACGCCGGTTTAGGGATATAACGAACAACTCAATATAACTAAGTTTTTGCTGAGTCTATTGAAAAAACCTCGTTGCGAAATTTTCCATACAAAAAGCTAGATGTAATGAAGACATTTTGAGAATGAAAAATTTCGTTAGCGAAGGTCACCATGTAGCGAAAGATTATACTTATAACAAATGTTTTCTAAAATTCTCTAGCATTTGTCCAACTCCTTTAACGTAACATCTACATAAAAGTCAAAGTACAGAGCAGGGAGCAGACACTCGGTCCGTATTTTCGTCTGCTATAGGACTACAGCGCCCTCCATTCTGAGTTTTATGCTATGGAAAGCTAGTAGGGATGTTAATTTTTCCACTTTTTCCGATCCCGGGATTTTCGGGATGTCGTTATCACAATCCTGGGGTCCCGGGATCAGTCCCGTCATTACTTTTCAACAACTTAAATCGAAAAAATTGCTTCTACATTGTTTAAGAAGCTCTCCTACCATAAAATAAATAATAAATAAATGGGTTTGAAACCTACTTTTTTATTTAAAGTGGCGTTTTATTTTTTCTCTATGACGTCAAAATTTACTTTAAAGGACTTTGTAATTTCAAAGATAAGACTAATTCCAAAAATTATTTTTAAAATATGGGAACCAAATGCAAGAGAAAATTTCTTTAGAATTAGAAAAAATTTAAATTTTTTGGATTGGCAAGGACGAATATATAATTTTTTAAGCTGATAAAGTTAGAAGGACGAAATTCGAGGATCTTATCGAGTTTATATAAGTCCTTAACATATAATTTTTTTAAAAACAAATATTGCGTAATTTCAAGGATACAATTTTAAAAGAACATTTTCAATGCTCACCAGTCCCTGTGCACCAAAAACTGGTACCTGTTTAAATTCTACAGGATTTCCGCTTTAATTTGATACCCATACTTCTTCTCTAAGTACATTTCTCTGAATTTTTTAAATCATTTAAATAAAAAAAGAAATATAGCCAATACTGGTCAATTATTATTATTATAAATATCATTGCCATCAGTGCAAATTACAAATCCCAAAAATCCCGGGATTGTTTGCCAGAAATCCTGGGATCCCGGGATTAACATTCCTACTAGAGACGTCTATCAATAGTATGAATGTTAGGATGCATCACTCTCAATAAAAAAAAAATTTACTTTTTTCCTCGGAATTATACAATTTATTATATTTTAAGACTTCTGCCAAAATATTTTGGAAAAATATTAAGATTTATGTGAGCTGGACCGATTATGAAAAATATCCAAAAATCGAGGTTTTCATAAATAAAATTAGTTCTTTTTTAATTTGCCTTCCAAAAAATCACCTCAGATGATAGAGAAGTTTAAGATTAAAAGTTCTGCACAAAAATATTTAAAAATAGTGTCAACCGAATTAAATGAGATTATTGGAGGTATTTTCCAATCGGTCCAGCTCATGTAAATCTTTATATTTTTCCGAAATATTTAACGAAAGGCTAAAATAAAACAAAATAATTTCGGTGGAAAAACCACAACGATTTTTGATTATGCACCCTAATGAATATAAAAAGCCACTGAGTAATGAATTTGCAATTAGCAGTAATCGTTAAAGTGTAGAAATATTTAATACCGTTCAATGAACTGTGTAAAGCAGAGATAAGCTTCTGCGTTGGTTGTGATGTTGCTTCTTCCGACTGCAGCAGTTACTACAGGTAATGGACGCTCTATGAGTGTGAAGTAAAAGGATAGTCCATAAGCAATGAAATTCGAATATAGAATGCTGAAAGTGTAGGATTTTTTAAGAATCACTCGTGGTTCGCTTATCATTTGAGTAAAGATATCAAATACAAATGTTTTGTGGTAGGAAAACGAAATCACGAACTCTGATTAATTTATAAATATAGTGAGCAGAGGAGTGTGTTTTACTATTTAACAGTCTTAATTTATGATTCTGAGATTCCTTCTCAAAACGAGAGAACCCCTAACCTAAAAAAATTTTAAATTTTTTAAGGTGTCCAGTTTATAATTTACTCTTACCGCACGCGCCACTTTGTCTTTTTTGGACATATTGACCCTAGTATGCGTCCTATATATCGATTTTTACTATCGATTGTTTTTCTTATGAATATTAAGTTTAAAATATAAAAATTAAGGCAAAAATTTTAATAAATAATTCCTTCAGAATTTAAAACCTTGTGTTTCTTTTAATGATTTTATAAACTTTGTGATAAATAAGTAAAACAGTTTAAAATTAAATCCAGTAAAATAATGCGAAACAAATCAAAAACATTAAAATCTAACACCCGAATTCATAAAAAATAAAGAAGACTTTAAATGTTTATAAATCGATTTTTTTTTATGAAAATGTTACTGCTTAAAGCTTTTTAAGTCTACTTTACATAAACAAAATTTATGTTTATATTAAAAAAAATAATTTAAAATTGAAACTCAAAATGCAATTGAATTCAATACGCCACCTTTTATTGCTGTTGTTTTTTTAATCGTTACCAAAATGAAATTTTTTCACCTTCTTTCACAGTTACATAATTACAGTTTAGATTAGATATTCTTAAAAATCAATATAGGAATTAGTAACTGGTCAAATAAAGAATATATTTTTGATGTATTTTAGAAAGAATTTCCACCATCCTTTGTCGGTTTCTTGTTTTTTTGTTATGAAATTCTCTTTGTTTCATTAACAAATAGTTTTCCGCATATTTTAGGGCTTACCCTATTAGTAATCGAACAGAAAAATGTCATTTAAAGAGTTTCCTCTGTCCATAACCTTGTATGGTTTTGATATTTGAAAGAATATGATTGATAACACTCTTGCCAGAAATCATAAAAAAGTAATAATTGCGAAGACAACACCCTAAAAATGATTAAAAGTAAACATTGAATTTATTTATTTATCTAATTAATCTTAATAAAATAAGTAATTCACACTTTTACGTCAAACTTTTCCTATCACCGAAGGGCGTTGGTTATATAGGTTGAGTTGGAAATTTTTTGTTTTTGCCAAACCCAAAATAATAAATTCAAATATTTGCCTTAATTTTATATAAAGCTATTGAGTTAACAAACCTTTGTTAATTATTTAATAACCGTCGCGATAATAAACAAAATTTCTTTTGTCTCGCCTAAGCTGCAACCACAAATATTTTTTATGATTATTTTAATTGACGCTTTGAAATACGCAACACTTGAAATTCGTGGGCGCAATTAGTTGAAACTTCATGAACTAATCAAATACGAGTTGAATAACAAAAAGCACATAGAAAGTGTAACAAAGGTAAATAAAGTAAAAAATCGATAGTTTTGTAATAAAGTTGCAGTCTTTCTGTCTTAAAAAAATTCATGGAAAATATACTTTTTCTTATTTTTAAGTTTAACGAATTGCGGGGTCGTGTAGGCGAATTGTACAGGCTTTTAGAAAAACTATAAGGACATTGTCGCCCATAAGTTTTGGCTGTAACATTTCGAAAGCCCTACTACTTTTGTGGATATTACTCTTCGAAAACTATATGGAATCCTTTGGAATGCCAATGGATGTCATCATCCAGAGTATATAACTTGTCGACACTAGACTATTGTTTTTGCTTTACTTTAGAAAAGCTATAAAAAAAGATCGACAATATTACCAATCTTTAGAGATTGATTACATGTTTTTAATAAAAATAACAGCTGAGCGAGCGATCTTTATAGCTCGAAGCATAACTTTTACTCGTTACGTCGGATTCAAGGAATCACTATCCTTCGTAATTGATATCAGTCAGGTTGCCATTTGCCATTTGAAAAAAAATAAAAATAGAAAAGTTGTTTTTAACAATAAATATCTCTGTATTAGCCTATGGAGCCATAGCCCGAAGGTCAATGATCCTAAAGAAGACTACAGAAAACTCACCAGCTTCGTCTGCTTCTATGTTCTCCTGAGCTCATTCGGTCGTGATTTTGCCAGGATACATTTTGTTAAGTCTTCAGTAATTCGAATAATATATTTTTTTTGAATGATTTTTTGCTATCCTTTGTTAAATTTTGTTTGGGGACAAAGGGGTCTCGGCGTTTTGCTATCTTTAGTGTAATTTTTCGTTCTTGTATATACATACATATATAGTGGAATCGAGACTTTTAGTTTCAGGATTCCCATATATGTTCATATTTAGTAGAAAAAGGGCTCGAAGATAAAAAAACCATACCATACCATTACCATAGAGAATCAATTTATGTATATAAGCTAATTATAATAGGCCGACGATGTCAAAAACTAAAATTTTTTTTTGTAGACAGCCAGGCAGCGCTGAAGTTGATACTGCATACATATGTACATAGTATGTATGTTCTAAACTAGTAAAGTCGTTAATTAGCTAGGAATGTTGCACTTCGCCAGCATCTCTGCATTACGTCAACGCCAATATTTATCTGGTTCCCTTATCGGATATCAAAAATCAATATTAAAGGAAGGGAGGTACTTAGTAGAATAGCGCAAACACAGGTCGGGAATGCAAAACAGCAAAGCAGATATCTCTTTACCTACTGTGAACTACTGGGGAAAATTGACGAATATCCTGCAACTAAAAGTAATAACCTTTGGATCAAACGACTATGTGGTCTTAATGGCCGAGGTTGAACAGGAAAAGAACTGAGAACTTTCGAAGCTATAAGGGCTTTCACCGGCATTGTCAAAGCGTTATGTGCTGTTCTTCAGAAATTTTGAGTATACAGGAAAGGAGTAATCGTTTCCCGATGTCGAGAATCAGGTTCTGAGTCAAAGAAACACCCTCTCTTCCATCAGCTGTCGGACCTTCAAAATTCAAGTAGGATAGTAAATGGCTTAGCAGACATTACGTGTCTCCTCCCGGCGTTCAGAGAATCCTCAAGTAAAGCAATGGTTGGACAGTCCCTTGGGATGGAGTCTCTTATCTTATAATCACTTGCTTACCGCCGACACTACAGAAGCGCTCTTTTAATGCCTTAACTTCCACTTCATCAAGCCAACAATGAGGTTGAAATCATTTTAGCTCAAGAACAGCAGACATGTGGTGACACAACGAAAGTTTGCTTCGCTAATATCACTTCTTGATACAACTGATAGCCATCTGGTGCACTGCCCAGCTTGGGTTAACAATTATCCGAGATTTGTTTCTTCTTTTTATGTGGTTCCCATATTCTGATATTGGCTTAAGCCGAGGAGAAAAAAGAACTCGGCAATGAGCTTCCCGCTTTTCAACTTTAGGATTGGCGTATGGAGAGGGGAACGATGAAAGGGATAAGGGGCAGTCGACTAATTGCCATCACGGTAGCTAATTAGCTCCGTCAGAATCAGACCAAGGTACCCTAATCTTCGCTTAACGGAGGTAGATCAGCTGACGGATAGACCCTGGCTCCATCTCATCGTATTTCGGACAGGACCAAAGTAGATGCATCTTAAGTCTCGCGGCATGCGTCCAACTATAATACCGATCATTAGCGAGAGTTTCGGATGGCTTAGCTTTGAGGGGACTATATTTGCCTGCTTGCATGAAAGAATATGAGCACAGTACTCGCTAAACTCGGACGCTACCATTCTGGCGCTTTGGTCTATCCAACTCTTAACGATTGCTAATCGTTTGAGATGTATGACTCATAGTCATCTTTCTACACTTCAAAGCCCGACTATACTCGGTAAATATTTCTGCCTTATTGCTACTTTATATTAGAAGTCACAACATTTCTGCGAAAAAATCACGATCAATGAGCATATTTACGTTGCTCGCAATTTTTTTTTGTCATCGATTTATTTATTCATGCATATTTTCAAGCGCTAATCGTGTCATTATTCGAAGCGCAAATGTGACAATTTTTTGAATTCACACGAAAATTTCGTTATTTACGTACATAGGTAGTACATACACCGGTGGTGGGTATGCAAATATGCAGAAATGGCCAGTTGACACAAATATAAAAAAAAAACTACAGTGTATGACTGAACTGTCACAAGAATAAATGTAAATACCCTAATTGAATGAGGAAATACACAAATATTTATGTGAACCCAGAAATATGTATACATGTACAAGTAGTACCAATTTATAAAGTGTGGAAATAATCTTTGCATGCTTTTCATTGTAAACGAAAACTGGAGCATCTGGCTACTGTGCATGAAAAGTAAATACAATGTTAAAACACCTGTTTCCCACATAAAAATGTAAATAAATGAAAAAAAGAAGTTCAGTTAATTTAAAAAATCTGCAAAATACTTGAAAAATCGACGAAAGTATAAACAAAAATATTACAAATTAAAAAAAAATACTATTAAAAAAAAGTGAAAATGTAAAAAATTTAAAAAAGGGCTCATAAATTTAAATTTTAAACTAATTTGTGTATCACCTATATTTGAAAGCACATCTGTATCATTTTCGAGACAAATTTGGGCAAACTAAACAAATACAAAAAAAAAAATAAATATATTTAAATATTAAAAAAGTATAAATTTTCAAAAAAGATGCAAAAGTAAAGTAAAATCAAAATGGAATTAAAAAAAATGTTATTAAAATCCAGTTTTAAAACATAAAAATTATTTAAAAGAAAGTACAAAATTTAAGTTGTGTTATCGCATAAAAATAGAAAAATTCAAAAGTATGATGCCCGGTTGCACCAATCAATTTTAACAGTCAGATAAATTTTAAAATTGATTGGGGAAACTGGTCATGAGCATATAAAAAAAAAAAACAAAAAATTAAAAAGAAAAATTAAATTTGGAAAAAGTTATTTTATATTATGAATTTGTAATCATAAACATGTATGTTCATTAGAACCTAGGCCGTCGAGAGAAAATCCGCGACTGTGGGTAAATAGTATGTGCGCCGCCCCCGTACAAAATAATTTTTAACTTTTAAACCAATTTCCAACGTTTTCACTACATACTTGTTCAGTGATTTTTTCTTAGTATGTAGTAAATATACTCCAATGGAGTCCGACGCTCCAGCTTTGAAAGTATTCAACTCGGAACCCGCTGGTGGTAGCAGAGGAAGAGGGAGGCCTCCATTGCGGTGGAAAGACCAAATGGAGAAGGACTTGGCTTCACTTAGCATTTACAGCGCCAAACAAGAAGAAGAAGAGATGTATACCTATGTACTTTTCGTACAGAATAACTTCGTTTAAAGAGAATCGTTTACAGGTCAAACCAATAATTTTTTTTCTTTAATTCAAAATGCGTTCCCAAATTTAAGAATGTAGCTATTTTATGTGAATATTAAATAATAAATTTTTAAAACTTTGAAAAATATTATAATATTTATTTTATAACTTAATTTTTACAAAAGTTCGGGCCCCTTTGAAAATCCGTGCCCAGGGGAAACAGCCTCGGTACCGACCCCTCTGCTCGTAATCATTGAGAAAAAATCGCGCGACAAAATTGTGAGCGAAGCATTTAAATCTCTAAAATTTTTCCTTTGCCATTTTACCACAACGTAAATCCATCAATATGTCAAATATGCCGCTAATAAATGTAATTTTAGCGTTTATCACGTACTTTTAAACAAATATGCAAGCAACAACGCTACTTGCGCACATATATATAAATTTATGTACTGGTATTTACAGATTTTTGTCACTTTGTTTACAAAGTTGACTACTGACGCCACACTAATTTCTTCAGTTTTTTGTTTTTTTGTTTTTATTTAAATTTATTTTTGTTATTGTAATTTCCATGGACTTGCAAAAAATTCGCAGTTACTAATTTTTGCGAGTGTAAGTTGTTAAAAATGTCGCCGTTCATTATGCAGTCTGTGGAGAATACGAGTACGGTCTACAATATGTTGCCAAATAAATGTCAAACAACTGCTAATAAGCGGTGTAGTAAACGAAATATGAGTACAAAAAAAGGTAGTAAGAAAAGCGCGGTTTAAATAAAATCTACATATGTACATACATAATATACATAGGTACATGGGGAGTTCCATACCAAAACGGGCGGGGTTCACACTTCATGTGTTTGATTTGTTTCAAATTTTTAGGGTTGATGCATAAACATAAATAATAAATAAATATGAAATTTGAGCTTGATTAATACATTTTTTAAAACTTTACAGCACAAAAACAAAAACCAATCGATTTAATAGTTTTCCAAATATCACGAGAACGGAGTGAGGAAAAAACTAAAAAAAAAAAATCACTTATACACACATCAAATTCTATATAAAAAGATATATTAAAATTTTTTTTTTCTTGAAAAATTTTTCGCATACAAATTTTTTGATAAAAAAATTAGTTTTTGAAAATATCTTCTTCTTCTTATTTGGCGCTGTAACCGCCTAAGCGATTTTGGCCGAGTCCAAAACAGCACGCCAGTCATTTCTCTTCTGTGCTAACTGACGCCAATTGAAAATGCCAAGTGAAGCCAAGTCCTTCTCCACCTGGTCTTTCCAACGCAGAGGAGGCCTTCCTCTTCCTCTGTTACCAGCATCGCGGCCCGCGTTGAATATTTTCAGAGCAGGAGCGTTTCTGTCCATCCGAACGACATGGCCAAGCCAGCGGAGCCGCTGAATTTTAATTCGCTGCACTATGTCTATATCGTTGTAAAGCTCATACAGCTCATCGTTAAATCGTCTGCGATATTCGCCATCACCAACGCGTAAAGGTCCGTAAATCTTTCGCAGAATCTTTCTCTCGAAAACTCCAAGAGCCGCCTCATCAGATGC